TGTCCCCTCTAGGGGGTGCTGGCTCCCATCTGGCCCAGGGCAGGGGCAGAGGTTGGGCTTGGGGCTGGGTGAGGCAGGAGGCGGGTGAGAGTCCTGGGTTCGGTCAGTGCCAGGTGGGACGCGCCCGCCGGGTCGGTGCTGGCTCTGACCGTCCCCCCCCCGTCCCCCGCAGGCTGAGGAACCGGCAGCCGGTGAAGGTGGGCCGGCGGCTCTCCGTGGCGGAGGGAGAGGGCGGCGCCTGCACCCTGCACCTCCTGGCAGCAGAGCGCGCGGACGCCGGCTTCTACGCTTGCAAAGCCATCAACGAGTACGGCACCAAGCAGTGCGAGGCCAAGCTGCAGGTCCGAGGTAACGCCCAGGCCTGGCCGCACCCCTCCACGCTGGGCTGGGGGGCCGGGGGGGCCCCAGAGAGGAGCTGCTCCCAGGACAGGGTGAGGCACGTCTGCCTGGCTCTGCTGCTGCCCGGCCCTGCGTCTCCACGGCCCTCGGCGGGGACCGGTGCCTGGGCGGCACCAGCGCGGGTGGGGTGGGGGAGGGGTGTTGGATCCACTGGAGATGGACAAACTGCTCTGTGGAACCGAGAGAAAAGTCAGATCTGTCCTGACCCCTGTTCCCGCCATTTCCCCCCCCAGCTCTGCCGGTGCCCCTCACTCCCGACCCGCAGCCCCCTGCAGCCCCAGCCCTGGGGCTCCCCCCCCCCGACACACAGCTCTGCCGGTGCCCCTCACTCCCGACCCGCAGCGCCCTGCAACCCCAGCCCTGGACTCACCCCCTCCCCCCGACACACCAGCTCTGCCGGTGCCCCTCACTCCCGACCCGCAGCCCCAGCCCTGGGCTCCCCTCTACACACAGCTCTGCCGGTGCCCCTCAGTCCCTGCCTGCACTGTAGTGCCGGGACGCGTGGTGTCCTTGGGTTTGGTCCCTGCTGCTGGAGTTTCGTGGCGTCCCTCCTGGGCGGAGAGCTGTGCCCATGAGCACACGGGTTGCTCCAACTCAGCCAGGTTCTGACCCCGTCCCCGTGTGCGTTGCCGTGCGCAAGACGCCCGTGGCTCACTGGGCCGTGCTGGCCTGAGCATGGCGGGGGCTCCTGGCCCTGCTGCTCTGGTGCGTTTCCTTCGCTGCCCCCGCAGTGCCCTGCGGGATGCTGTGGCGCTGATCCCTGGGAGACCTGGCACCTCCCGGCCACGCCAGCTGCTGCCCCCTTACAGACGGCAAACGGGCAGCGGGAGCCCAGCAGCAGGGCTTGGGCCCAGGCCTCCCTGTTGGGGCCTTCTCAGGCGGCCGGCTGGGGGGGGACAGTTCTGCTGCCTGGGTGCTGGCCTGGCCCATCCCGTTCCCACCCAGCACGGGTCACACGGCAGCTCCAGGCGAGACGGAACCTGTTTGACGCCTGCTGGGGTGGAGTTTAGTTAGTAACCAACGGCCGAGCTGGGTTGCCAGACCCCCGGGGGAGCTCCTGGGCCCCTGTCCTGCTGGGCCCCTGGGGCGGCTCCTGGGCCCCTGTCCTCCTGGGCCCCTGGGGCGGCTTCTGGGCCCCTGTCCTGCTGGGGCGGCTGCTGGGCCCCTGTCCTCCTGGGCCCCTGTCCTGCTGGGCCCCTGGGGCGGCTCCTGGGCCCCTGTCCTGCTGGGCCCCTGGGGCGGCTCCTGGGCCCCTGTCCTCCTGGGCCCCTGGGGCGGCTTCTGGGCCCCTAGGGCAGACTAGAAGCCTGCTGCCCCAGGCCAGGCCCCAGCAGACGCCCAGCCCCTTTGCAGGCAGGGATGTTGTTTGTGCCCGTGTCGTGTGCCCGTGTTGTGTGCCCGTGTCCTGTGCCCGTCTCGGCTGCACTAACCCTGCCGCTTGCTGACTGCGGTTTTTGTCTGTACACAGGGGGAGTGCGATAAGGGGGCGCGTCCCTCAGAGCCGCGGCCTCGGGGCTCTTTAGCACCACACCTCTTAGGCACCGGACCTCGCCTTGCGTTCTTGCCTTCTGCTCCAAAGGGACGGAGTGACCAAGGGGCAGGGCCTGGCGCCCCGGGCCTGGCCCCCGACCCGCCGCCACCTCCTGGACTCTGGGCTCCAAGGCTAACGCGTGGACTGTGGGGCGTGGGGCTCGCTGGTCGGCGGGGAAGGCGGAACCAAGGCGGAGCCGCGGGGCGTGGGCGGGGCCAGTCTGGCATAGCACAGTGACGGCACCAGGGGGCGCTGCAGGCCCAGCCGGGCCGCGCCCGGCGTCTGCGTGATGCTGTCTGTCTCTCGGTCTGTCCGTGTGTCCGCGTCTCTGTGTCCCGCTGCTCCTCTTCAGCACTGCCAAGGAGCGGGGAGCCTCTCTGCAGAGAGCGAGCCAGCCCTGGACGAACACGCCTGGGGGCGGGGGCAGGAGACCCACTGCCCCCCACCCCTCCCCGGAGAGCATCGGGCGCAGGCTGTGAAGTAGCACAAATGGCTCCCCCCAATGCACTGTGCTGGCAGGGCCCGCTGCGGCGCCCCAGGGGTCCCCAGGCCTGGGGGCTCCTGGCGGGGGGAGCCGCCCCAGGGAGCTGGGCTGGGGGCCGGGACCTTTTTGTAGCTCTAATAAAGTGTGTTTGGTAAAGCGCTGTGTGGTTTGTTCGTGGCACTGACCCCCAAGCCCGGTCAGACCCTCCTGTCCTTGTCACCCTCTGCTGTGGGGCCGGCGGCCCCTGCCCTCCGCTGCCTCCTCGCTGTCCTGCACCCCTTCCACAGGGCCCTTAGGGGCCTGCCCCCCCACTCCCGGCGTGTCCCCGGCGGGCCCTGCCCCCCCTTCCCCAGGCACCCTGCCCCTCTCCCATTCATTCCCTCCATGTCCCAGGGAGCCCTGCCCATCCCCCCATTCCCGGCGCACTCTACCCCTCTCCCAATCCTGTGTGTCCTGGGGGCCCTGACCATCCCCTGGGGGCCCTGCACCTCCCCCTGCTCCCTGCATGTCTTGGGGCCCTGGCCCCCACCCCCTCTCGTCCCCGATCAGTGGCTCAGGTGCGTTTCTGTCTCCCCAGCACACCCCGCAAGCCAGGCGCTGGCCGTGGTGGCACCGCTGCAGGACGTGACGGTCGGGGCCGGGGAGCTGGCGCTCTTCGAGTGCCTGGTGACGGGCCCGCCGGACCTGGATGTGGACTGGCTCTCGCGGGGGCGGCTGCTGCAGCCCGCCCTGCTCAAGTGCAAGATGCACTTTGACGGGCACAAGTGCAAGCTGCTGCTCACCTCCGTGCACGAGGACGACAGTGGCGTCTACACCTGCAAGCTGAGCACGGCCAAGGGTAAGGGGCTCCGCACCCGGTGTGGCGGGGTCACCACTCACCCGTGGGGGGCATGACACCCACCTCCCGGTATCCCCGAGGCACCAGACCGTCCGTGGAGACCCTCTGGGCTCCCCTCGCCAGCCACTGCACCTCTGCCAGGCCTGGGCCCTAGCTCTGGGATCTCCCCTAGGGCCCGGCCAGGGATTGCTGGGAACCCCTTATTCGACGCTGGAGCCTGCCCTGGGCAGGTGGGGCTGGAGGGCCCAGCAGGGCTCTGGTTTGGTGCCCTGCCCCCCCCCCAGTTACAGACTGATGCTGTGGGGAGGGACCCGCCTGGGCTGGGTCTGCCCTTCTGTCCCTTGCTCCTGGGGGCCGGGAGCTGAGCGTGGCCCAGGCCTGGGGCCGGATGGGCCAGTGCTGAGGGAGGCTCCGGTGTTGGCCTGGGTCCCGTTGCTCTACTGCCCCCTTTAGTGATGGGGGTCGGGACACGGGGCCTGTCCTCTCTAGGGGGCGCTGTCTCCCATCCTGGAAAAGGGCAAATCTAGTGCCCATCTATAAAACGGGAAATAAAGAGAAACCAGGGAATTACAGACCAGTCAGCTTAACTTCTGAACCCGGAAAGATAATGGGGCAAATCATTAAGCAAACTATTTGTAAACCTCTAGAAGATAATGAGGTGATGAGTAACAGTCAGCCTGGATTTGTCAAGAACAAATCGTGTCAAACCAACCTGAGAGCTTTCTGTGACAGGGTAACCAGTCTTGTGGATGGGTAGGAAGCGGTAGACATGGTATATCTTGACTTTAGTAAGGCCTTTGACACTGTCTCACACGACCTTCTCATAAACAAACTAGGGAAATACAACCTAGATGGAGCTACTATATGGTGGGTGCAAAACTGGTTGGAAAACCCGTTCCCAGAGTCTCGTCATCAGTGGTTCACAGTCAGGCTGGAAGGGCATAACCAGTGGGGTCCCGCAGGGATCAGTTCTGGGTCCGGTTCTGTTCACTATCTTCATCAGTGATTCAGATAATAGCATAGAGAGTGCACTGATAAAGTTTGTGGATGATACCAAGCTGGAAGGGGTTGCAAGTGCTTTGGAGGACAGGATTAAAATTCCAAATGATCTGGACAAACTGGAGAAATGGTCTGAAGTCAATAGGTTGAAATTCAAGAAGGACAAATGCAAAGTCCTCCACGTAGGAAGGAACAATCAGTTGCACACATACAAATGGGCAATGACTCCTAGGAAGGAGTACTGCGGAAAGGGATCGGGGGGTCATAGTGGATCACAAGCTAGATATGAGTCAACGGTGTCACACTGCTACACAAAACCCAACCATCGTTCTGGGCTGTATCAGCAGGAGTGTTGTAATCTAGACACGAGCAGTGGTTCTCCCGCTCTGCTCGGCGCTGATTAGGCCTCACCTGGAGTATTGTGTCCAGTTCTGGGCACCACATTTCAGGAGATGTGGACAAAGAAGAGCCGCACACAGGGACTGGCCACGTGGCTAGCGAGGGCCTGGCCAGCCCTTCGTGGCTAGGAGCCTGCCCAGAGGTTTCGTTCCCTCTGCTGGGATGGGGCCCAGATACAATTAGTGCAAATTGATTCCAGTAACCCCCCCCCACGTCAACCACTGTCCCTGTCACGGAGTGTGGGGGAGACCAGGCCCTGCACCCCCGGCTTCCTGCGATTCCCCATGACTCTCAGCCAGCCAGTAAAGCAGAAGGTTTATTTAGACGACAGGAACACAGTCCAAGACAGGTCTTGCCGGTACAGACAACAGACCCCCCCCTTTAGTTAGGTCCATCTGGGGGCCCCAGGGAGGCCACAGCCCCGTTAGAAAGCCCAAGCCCCATTGGGGCACCCCTCTCCATTTTCCAGCCAGCTCCAAACTGCAACTTCCAAACTGCAACCCCCCAACCTCAGCCACTGCCCCCCATGGAGTGGAGAACACCCACTGAGCCCATCCAGCGGCTCCTGGTGTCAGGCCCCAGGGACAAGGGGAGCCCTGAGCCCCTCTGTGACGG